AATCGCGATTGAGAACGCACACTGACAGAACATAACAAGCGGCAAAGCATCGATAGCAACTCATCTCAAACTATTCCATTGGAGTTCTGGTTAGGTTTGAGTCTTGGACGCCCAGCCAAAAAGAATAGCAAATGTATGTTACCTGCATCAGCTGCGCAGAGAGAGAGAGAGAGAGAGAGAGAGAGAGAGAGAGAGAGAGAAGAGAGAGAGAGAGGGGAGAGAGAGGGAGAGAGAGAAAAAGAGAGAGAGAGAGAGAGAGAGAGAGAGAGAGTTATAGAGGAGAGAGAGATATATATATATTTATATATTTATAACTATAGATAAAGATAGTATATAGATAGATAGATAGCTAGATAGATAGATAGATAGATAGATAGATAGATAGATAGATAGATAGATAGAGAGAGAGAGAGAGAGAGAGAGCTTGGACAAGAGCTTGAGGCTTATAGGGGAATTCCCTTTAACTAATTTTAAAAATACAATTTTGTTTAAATAAACAATCAACAATGTTTAAATTTTTGTTGACACTATCAGAACTACATAAATTTAGATCAAAAAACAACAAGTTTTGCAATGGAACTTTCTGAAATGGTGTCAGTACAAAAGGCACTATACCAAAATCTCCCACGACAAAAAACACTGTAGCAAAAGATCCCTTGTACAAAGTTCGTCCGTACCATAAGATCACATGCCAATTAAAAAGATCCCAAGTCTTTTGAAATAAAGTCATGATCAAAGTGTAATCAAAAACAAATCTAGAGTACTGATATCTCAATTAGGTTCGCGCTAGTAATAAACAACGCAACAACGAGATAACTAAATTTGAACTGGACTCACTTTTGGGATTAATATAATGCCAACATGTGTTTGATTCAGTGTTATTGAATTAAAACAACTCAATTGAAAATTTAAACACTCTGCTTTCATTTTCTCACTTTTTAACTCATTGAATAGTCAAAATTGAATGCTTTTACTTGGGGAACTTCACAAAAAAGCCAAACACTGATTATTCTTGACGGCCATGAATTTCAAATGAAACACATAACGAAGACAACAACACACTGGCGCTCAAATGGAGTTCATATAACTGCCAGAAAAATTTAATCACTTCTGGGAGCAATATAATCTCAAACAGCAATGATCATGGTCACGAGTTCAACGCAAGACTTTCAGAAACTTGGCAAATAGTTCAGAAAATGTAGGAGACAGTTAAGAATCATGTAGATCCAGTAAACAGAGGGATCAATGCAGCTTGTTTGAAATTGGTGCAGGACGACAAAGCCGCCTAAATCTCTTTGCCTTCCCGGTCGGCGATAACGTGAACTTTGAACAAAGTAAATAAACGACATCCCTGCCCACTATTTCCATAGATGACTGTTATTTCGAAAAAAATGGATAGTTTTAAGCATTTATGTCTTTTTGACAGCGGAAAACAAAATACCCAACGCATATTGATTTTTGGCGACATTGAAAACCTCAAATTACTAAAGTTGTACAACAAAATCTGGCTTGAAGACAGCACCTTGAAAAGGTGGCCCAGTCAGTTTTACCAGCTCTATACTGTAGACATCCATATTGGCGGGCTTTATCTACCTTGCGTCTACACTCTGCTCAGCAATAAGCGCTTATCAACCTATTACAAAATCCTAGCCGCAATTAAATCGTTTATCGGTGACTTAAACCCGGAAAAATTTTTGATCGACTTTGAAACTGCGGCGTTGAGTGTTTTTGCGTCTCATTGCGAAACTGACATTAAGGAATGCTTTTTTCACCTCTCTCGTAGCTTTATGCGGAAAATATCCGAATTTGGCCTTGAAAAGACTTAGAATCAAATAGCGAGCTTGTCCTGGCCTTGAATATGGTTCCTGCGCTTAGATTTGTGCCGGAATCAAGAGTGGAAATTGGGTTCGACCCAATAATTGAGGCAGTATGCAACCAATCTTGATATTTCACAAAACGATCACGAAAAATTAGACGAGCTCACGGCTTATTTCTAAAACACATACGTTAAAAGAGATTTGAGTGATCGATAAACATTCTTTTCTATTTTTCTATGGAAGTTAAATCCAGTTAGAGTGTGGCAACTAGGTGTAGCCCTTTTGTTTCAAAGCAGCCATTCTTCAATAAATACGTTTCTTGAAAAAATGCAACTGGATTCCCACAAGCAAAATTTCAGTATTTTGAAGGCATCCAGTGGTACAATCAACTTATCCCGGAAAAAGTACCAAAAAAGTAATGAAAAAAGTTCAACAGATAACAAGTCCTTACACAGACTCTAACATATTGTCTTATATCCTATCTCTTGCTCATTTAATCTGTTAAGTTTTGTTTAAGGTTTTGCCTAATTTCTAAATTTAAATTTGATTGATCGACCTTTTATAGACGTCTCCTTGCACCCTTCCGGAGAACGGCGAAACGCAATACTACGACTCGCATTCGAAAATGATGTCTACAACAAATTGATCCCAGAGCACTTGTCTTTATTTACGGGACGCTATGTCGCGGGTAGGCGCCTGACGGCTCTTCGAGTATTACGTCTAGCGAAAAAAAAATTGATCAAAATTAATAATTGACATTTTTTATCAAATCGAATGGTAAGTGATTCGTAACAGAAATGATTTCAAAGTTTTAGAATTTGCAATAACTTCATTTCATTTGTGTAGCGATTTGAGTGGTCTGAAAACTCAAGCCAATTTTGGCAAAGTTGATTTTGATTAATTGGAAACCCTTTTCAATTTCAATTGTAGTCTAAGCTGTTTTGACGTTTGAGTTTCTATTTGAAGGTCGGGTGACTAGCAAGGTCGTTTACGTTCGAAATGTTTGCAGCAAAAATGTTTCGTTTTTTAATTTTAACCGACGCTTTGTTTTTGCTTTGATCGATTAACCGCCTTATTTTCAATTCTCAGGTTCTTTGTTATTTTGTTTTGGTATCTTATGTCGTGGGCAATTTTAGAACGAGGTATTTTTTGGATTGGTATCTTATTGACTGGGATCTTCTCATTTGGGATAATAAGTTAAAGGATTTTTGTCATGTTATCGATTAAACAATTTTGTTTTTTATGGAAGAAACCAATAAAAATAGTTAAAATTTTTCAATGATCATCACTTTTCTGATGAACCCTTTCGTTGTTGGTTTTAATGTGCTGACAATGAAAAACTATATAGACTAAGATAATACAGTTTTTATAGAATAATTTAGTTAGAGTCTTCAAGTCTAAATGCATACACCTGCGTCTCTTTTTGTAAGAGAATGTTTTGAATTTTCAAACGTGTCCAAAAATTGGTTACAATGATGTCTCTTGCGTTATGGGTACAAGTGTGATAGGGGTCCCGAAAACTAACCGGGTCATTAATGTAAAAATAGTGCCTCAAATTTGTTCAATTTAGTTCTTTTGATGATGAAGTTAAGATATGGATTAACTTTACGCAAATGAGGCAGGTTAATTACGCTAGAAAAAAGTTTTGAAACGACCGACCGGTGCATATTGATTAGTTAATTACTGTATTTGCTTAAAATTAGTGTGATTTGGGACCCCGCTATCACAGTTGTACCGATGTCGGTTCAGACTGGCTCAGAAGGCGCAGAGCGATGATAACTACCCTCTTTGCTGTAAAAGAACAAAAAGCGATTGAACTAGCCTTATATCTACATTGCACCGTACCGTGGCAACTTCCAATGTTATGACTTTGACGAAGAAAGAGCGGTCTACGCTTCTCTCGCCATTGACAATCAGGGAATCGATGTGACCTGTCGAGTTCAGATTTGATAAATTTCGGTTTAACCCGGACGGAATCGCACAAACATGTAAAAACTGCAATAACGCAAGAGACAAGAAATATTGTCGTAATTGGGTAATATTGATCATGGTCAATGATATAAATAAAGCGAAAGCCTTGACCATAGATCAAAATTGAGTTTTCAAATAACCTTGTGTGAAAATCAACATTCAGCCGCTTATTTTAAATATATGAAGAAAAGTCATCATTGATACCTTATTGGAACTATCAAGACAAATATACGTCTTAACTTTTCTCATGAAACTAATTGGCTAGCAAGTCTCTCATTCGGTGTCGTTTGAGAAGAAACGAGCAAACATTTTTTCGAATGATGTTTTTGAAACTTCGACAAAAATGGAAGTTTTTGACTGAAATTTGTGTAGATTGACACCGAAGGACACTTGAGAAATTTTGTGGTGCAGATTGACCAAGCTTAGGTGGTAGTCTTTGGATATTGAGAGGGTCGGTTGCCTGTAGCACCAAGAACTAATTTGCTAAATGCTTATACTTGGCGACTTTGTAATTCAAAAAAGTAGGTAACGTTTTATGCGGATTCGCAAAAAAACGCTTTTTGCCTTTGATCTTTTTCATATATATGATCTTTTTTAGATATTTAAGACTTTGGCTCGGAACTTACATTCAGGACTGGCGCGGAACTCTCAAACCTCTTTTTATGCGAAATCCACTAACGATTAAATTTATTTCTCTCTATAATTTCAATCTAGTACTGGCTGCACGAGAAACTGTACGTCTCAGACAAATGCGTCTGATAATTAGTTAAAGAAATGTTACATAAAGTTCGAAATATTACCGAGCATTTAAAGATATCCGAAATAATGAATCTCAATTTTGTTCTCATTTGATCTCAATTTTGTGATAAGAATGAGTTAGGTTCTTTTGATTATACTCATATAGTAATTTCAGATAAGGTACACCGTCTGCTCGTACACCGTCCGCTCGTCACTATCTTATTTTCGGCCGGATAGATTCGTGCAAATTCTTAGTCTAATACCGATCTTAGTCTTACTCTTATATCTCCTAGTCTCAATGGATCTAGTTTATACTGGTTTATGCGAGTTAGTTTCCAGAAGGAGAACAATTGTATTCTAAGTTCAATTCAAACTGCTCTGGTGCTGAAACTACAAGTAATTTCAGCACTTACTAATAAGTGTAAATGTTAAAGATGAAATATGATTAGCTAGTTAGGAATATCTTATAGAAATAGAGAATCATATTTATAACCAATTATAAATTCTAGTTTAGAAATGGTTCCACCCATCCGCGGTTTAGAGAGTTTTTAGTTTATAAATGTTTTATGTAGTGAAGGATGGGTGATGTAGTTTCCTTTTGAACTTGCGAGCATTAGCTTCTTAGAGAAGAAGGAAGTGTGGCTGTTTGTGTTTGATGGATGAAGATTGTCATGTTCGTATTTCTAGATTGGTCTCGTTGATCGTGGTAGTCTTGGGAGATTGTGTCAAGACTTCTGATCGATGCAATGAGGTATCGAGTTCGTTAAGTTGAGAGCGATACTAATGAAGTGTAGCATGAAGTTTGACTTTTTGGTGTTACGTGCCAAGTGACTAGGATCTGCATGTGTATTCAACATCGAGATAGCAATTGGCCTGGTTCAATGGACTTCCTTTGCTGCGATGTTGAGTCCGTACTTTAAATCGTTTGAGGGTAAAGACTGAAGGCAGCAAATCGAATAGGTTTGCCATTCCATAGTTGGAATGTGATTGGGTTGTCAACTTCTTTGCTGCTCGTCTTTTGGTATTTATCGTTTACATATATAAGTTTCTTTGTTATTTAGTTTAACTTATAATTTATTATTGATGTTAATCGCAAAAGCGTTTTTATTTTAGTTCAGTAATTTTTAAGAGTCACTCCTCGTTGAGTAGCTCTTGTCAAAAACAGAGTGTCGGTCACAAAGCGTGGTTGTAGCACGGGGGGTTAGGCCGGCTATAGAGCATGTTCAGGACGTCCCTCTGGTGGACTAGGCCAGGAGTAGGGTAAAATTTTATGGTCTCTTTCTGTAGAGTCTCTTTTTTGTTCAACCTTCTTTTTCGTTTTTATTACTTGTTTTTCTCTTTTTGTTTTGGTTGTGTCCTTTTCCCAAAAATTGAATCTTGTGGTTTGGGTTTGTCTTTCCACTTTTTTGTGTTTTTCTTTATTTGTGGTAAGACTTGAAAATGGTCTTCAAAAGAATAATTAATCCAGTTTTAATCTGGTTTTAATCTGGTTTGCGTACCGTGGGTTTTTCTTTCTTAGTCATGCTATTAGTTTGCGGTTTTGTGACGTTAGTGAGCTGCGCTGGTTATTTTAGTTTACTATATAAGTCCTTCTAACCGGGTAAAAGAAAAACTTGAAACCTGTTTCAACCTTTAGAGTTGTAATCAGTGAAAGTTAAAACTTGAAATTCTTTATTTAAACAATTTTTCGTGGGCGAGCTGTGCGATTGTGGAAAAAATTTTATGGGCGAGTGAATGATTCAAAGGTTAGCACTCTTTTTACTGCTTTTGTGAAATTTAATTTATAAACTTAGTGCTTTGTAAAAGAAATTTATTGCATTGGGGATTATTTGTGAATTTACTGCTCTTTAGGGGTAAATTTTACTGCTTTTCAATCATACTGCGCTTTGTTAATACGAGTTTTAAAATTTATAGAAAAGAAATTTCAATTTTTTATTTGTTTTTGTTTGTCTTGGATGATTTTCCGATGAGATCTAAAAAGAAAGTGAAACCACTATAAAGAATGGTTAGCTGTGTTGTGAAATTATTAGTGTAAAATATATAATTTAGACTTACTTAATCGTCAGCAAAATATCCATTTGAGAAGATGTCGTGAATGACGTGCGATGATGTTAGAAGTTTCGCAAGTAAGCGGGTGATATAATTAGTTTGCAGTAGAGGTCAAAACAGTTCAAGTGCTTCGATGACGTTGTGCTCTTCACTACTTGGTGAGAATTCATGCTGTGTGTTTTTGATTAGATTATAAAGCTTATGATTATATTCAGTGTGTGAACGTATTCTAGGAACGGGATTTCAACATGCTGTATTTATTCGTGAGGGATTATTAGTGGATGGGATTCATTGACGTTCAAAGCTCTGGTTAGTGGGCAGAATATATACATTTGTCGGATAGGGTCGTAGTTTCTAATGATTTCTTGAATGTTAGTATCTCATATACAATATTCGAAGTTTAAGAAGAATGGTAAAATTAATTTGGAGTTAAAAATTTGAAATCGATGTTGCGGGTTTCGTGATGGTGTATTAGTCGTGTAATGATGTTGTATGAATTTATGATAAGTGTATGTGTGAGTTTTTTTGTGTAACATTTTTAAACAAGAGCAGAGTAAGTCGCGTTCTATTGGTGTTAGGAAATTAAAGGTTAGTGAAAAGTGGTTAAATTTACTAAAAAAGGAGTCATAAGCTTTTGTGTCGCGAAGTGCTGTGGAGATAATGTGATCATATGTTATGCAGTTTATAGTAAATACGTATTGTGATTTGATGAGAAATTTTTCATTTAATTGGGGGTTAGTGTTAGTTTCGTCATCTAGAAAGGTATCTTCATTGGATTGTGCAATGGCGTGATCATAATGGTTAATGGAAAATCGGTTAGCTTTTTGTGCAGTGAACCTATTTAGTGTTTGGTTTAGTCCGACGGTTGTGAATTGCTTTTCATGAAGTGCTGTGGTTAGGTGATATAGTCTAGTTTGACATAATTCACTGTCGTCTGGATTATTATATAGTGGAAGTGATAATGGATTACTAAAATGAGTATGCGAGGTCCATGAAAGTGTGGAAAATAAGGCATTTTCGTTAACTTAACTTTCTTAATCGTAGTTAGGATTCGAGTGACAATAAGTATATTTTGGAAAGAATGGTAAGCACACTTGGAAAAATCCTTTTGCGTTGGTATGAAGTGAATGAGTCAAAAAAGTTTGAGCTGGTCGAGGGTCAGAAGAGAATGGGGTATTGGGAAGTTGGTGGGCTCGGGTTTCTCCAGTAGTTGATGCGGGGTTGGAGGATTCTGAGGATGTCAAGATTTGTGAGAGGTGATGAATGGTTATTGTGTTAGGGTGTTGTATCTGTTATTGAAGAGTTATTAAGTTGTCTAACTCGTTTTCGAGTTATGTATCAACGGGGCTAGAGTAGTCAGGTGGGTTGCTGGTCAAAACAAGTATGTAGGATTTTCATCAGCGTAGGAAAAAGGGGCTGCTGAAGGTTCATTAGTGGTTTTTTTGGAAAGGAAGGGTTGAAAGGGGTTTGGGAAAAGGAAGATGGGCTGGGTTCGGAGTCTGCAAATTCATTGGGGGTCTCATTATCGGAGTTGTTAAATTATGAGATGGTGTGAATTGGTGTGGCTGTCTATCACATGAGATGCTGTGGCTGTTTAGGGCATGAGATGGTGTGGCTGTTTATCACACCATCTCATAATTTAACAACTCCGATAATGAGACCCCCGATGATTTTGCAGACTCCGAACCCAGCCCATCTACCTTTTCCCAAAACCCTTTCAACCCTTCCATTCACAAAAAAAAACACTAATGAACCTTCAGCAGCCCCTTCTTCCTACACTGATGAAACTGTATTTGTGGATGTGGCGTCTGAATCCATGCTTGATGAATTATTAGTATATGATGGTTTAGGGCAAAGAGTGAAATCAAAAAGTGGGAGAATCGGAGATTGACGATGGAGGTTGGATGGGTATGAAAGGGAACGGTTGAGGGATCCAATCTGGCGGCTCATCGTGGGCTAAAAAGATGTTTGTTCTGAGAACGAAAAAAAGTGGTATGTGGCTGTTCAATGATTTGTTCAAATGTTTCTTCTACATTTGGTTGCTGGGCTATGATGTGGGTAACTGGACTTTGTGGATAACTATGACTTGTAGAGATGAGCTCTGTTAGGGCTATATTCCTGTAATTTCGTGGTACTAACAATAATCGATGGTTATTACTTAAGGTGTGTAGGTGTTGTGCAGTAGGTGTTGTATTTTTGATGTCTTGTGAATTATCGTATGCATTTAAAGTGGTTGATATATTTTTTGTTTTATTCTTTTATTTGAGCGTCTAGAAGTATTTTATTGATTGAGTTGAAAAAATTCCGAAAAAACCCTGCGAAAAGTATGCGTGCTACACTTGCTTGTGTGTTTACTTATGTAAG